TTGGCGGGGGTTACAGCTTCTGAAACCAGGCAGGGCAGTTCCCAACAAAGGGTGGGTGTTGGGTCTAAGGCTGGAGCTTGAGCGAAAAATGGGACTGGGACTGGACCTGGGGATAAGCCTGGAGCTGGGTCAGGAGTTGGTTTATGGAGGCCAAGTCCCTAATTCTGAGCCTTGCCCTGGGCATGCCTGGCAGTGGCCTGTGGGAGGCTGTGGGCTCCCATCGCAGGGGTCCTGAACTATGCCCCTTCTTGTGCTCTGAGATCAGTGTATAGACACATGGTCTGGTATGCTTGCTGGCCATGGTGGTGTGAGCAGCCTGGGGGGCGAGACCTTTGCGGATGGAGCCCCTCTGCCTTTACATGACTAGCTTCAGTGGTCTGGCAGGGGCCCTGGGCCCCAAGAATGAGAAGGTGCAGTGAGCAATGGCAATGCTGACCCCACAAGTATGCACTGCAGGAAGAGAGAATGTGAAACCAAAAAGCTATCCTCATTTGCAAGCAGCCTTGGGCTCCAGAATAAAACTGGAGTGGGACTTCTGGATACCAACTCTAGTTCTGGGGGTGGCTGAGTTCTTTCTATTTTTGTGGAAAAGGTTGGCCTGGCCTTGGCAGGTGTAGCTCAGTGGATTGAGCGAGGGCTGCGAACCAAAGTGTTGCAGGTTCGATTCCCAGTCAGGGTACATGCCTGGGTTGCAGGCCATGACCCCCAGCAACCGCACATTGATGTCTCTCTCTCTCTCTCTATCTCCCTCCCTTCCCTCTCCAAAAATAAATAAATAAAATCTTTAAAAAAAATAAAAGAAAAGGTTGGCCTGGAGCTGGGCATTTCCCACTCCCTCAAATGGGGCAACATTTTAATAAAGAACTTTTTCCTTTCCCACTGATCTCTGTTTCATGCCTGTATTTGATTATAGGTCACCAAATCCCACTTTGTTTGGTAACAGTTTTGGCAAAGTGGACCTTAGTCAGGTCCCAGCTGCCTCTGGCTGGTTGACCACAAGAGTGCAGCTATAAGGATTTCCTAATCTCAGGAAATTTCCCTGCACCTCAGCTCAAGGTGCCAGTCACTGGGAACACTAAGATGGTGGAAGGAAACAGGTCTGGGGAGGAAAGGAATCCCAAGACCAGGTGAGTCTAACCAGCATGCACACTGGGGGTTGGGCAGTGTGCTATGTGGGTTCTGTTGGAGCCTGATCCGCCACCCCTGCCATTCTGACTACAGGCCATGTGGCTGCTTCACCACTCAGGCTATGTGTCACATGGGTGCTGTTTGGGGTCTGCACAACTTGATTTGATGGGGACAGCTCCAGTTCTGAGGATCACAAGTTGGGGTCCAAAGAAGACCATTTAATCCCTCAACTGAGATCTGATAGGGATTGTTTGAGCTCTGGAGTCCATGAATGGTGTCCAATGAGGACCACTCTGAGAACCATGAAGAGGGGTCTCATTGAGGACTGCCCAAGTTCTGAAGGGCCACTGAAAAATCAGGCTTGGGAAGGAGACAGGCTCTAAGGGGGTGAGGATCACCCAAACTTTGGGGGACCACTGCTCAGGAGCCAATATTTGGTCCTCTGGCTCCCCATGCAGGTTCCCAGAAAGGTTGCTCTCCTGAAAGATGGCAAGGAAGGAACTTAAGGCATATTGAGTACCACAAGGACTTGAGAAATACAAGTACTGTAAGCAAAGCTGTATGGCAGTTGTGTGACTTGACTTCTGTGCCCTGAAGGGCTGACTAAAGCTCAGTCTAAAGATTCCTCATATCAGTTTCAGCAAAACAAATTTAAAGAGCCTTCATGATTAATTGCTGTTGTTATTGTGTTTATGCAAATAATCAGGAAAAGCTAAAAACTGGACTTAATGCAGTCCTTTTGATAACAATGAGGGTAATATTAAGGGAAAAAACGTGTTTCAAGAAAAATAATATTCAGTTGTAGAAACTGGACTCTAATACAGTTAACTGTTCTTAAAGTTTTGTTTTCACTTGAAAGCTGAACTGGATTCTGCATACCAATCTTACCTCTATACCTGATGACATCACCAGGGATGTTCAATTTACAGGCAAGAAGAATTTATTTAAGAAAAGAAGAATTTATCAAATTGCCACTGTTCAATATAATTCCAAAAAAGGTCTTACAACTGGACATCTTCTCAAAAGAGAGTATTGGAGACTCAGAGACTGGTTTATGATTTGTGGTGTGAACTAACCTTTGTGTTCTTCCCTCTGTTTTCATAGGGTAAATGCCTACAACCTCATTTACCTGGGTGTTTGTTTATACAGTATGGACCTCACTTTAGAAGTCTACCTGAATTGCTGCCTCCTAAGATTCAAGGGTTTGGCTAGACTAGATGGTTGAGTTGAAGTATGGTGCAATCAACCGACTTTGCCTTAAACTGTTTTCCTTTTCTTCCCTAATGGTACAGACAAACAAAAAAAATCCACAATTCTTTGGGGGTGGGACAATCTTAAAATATTCCCCTCTGCCTAAGTTAAGTTAAATATTGTGGGCAAAAGGGCTTTGGACAGATGTGACATGCCTTGTATACCTTCCTCCAAGGAAGCCACTCCTTGTTAATCTGGGATATTGCAGAGTTAGTCTCTACCTTTGTCACTTAGTTATTATGGTTCTGACTATGCCTTCTAACTCTCTTGTCAAATTTGTCACCTCCAAAATACAAGGATGCCAACTTGTCCAGCAATGCCAACCTTTGGACATTGTTTATACCACTTTCCAGGGACAGCCAACTGACCTGGACTTTGCAAAATCCTCCTACCTTGTGTGAAGGCTTCCCTCCATTCCCTATCCCCAGTTTTGTTCTCTGGACCCAGAGAAGGGTAGGACTACATCTTGAGCCAGCAGGAAGTAGCTACAGAAAAATGAGATCTTCACCAATTTATTTTTGTAAGATTACAAAGGTCCAGAAGTGTTAAAGGGAGGAATTGTAATAGGGGGACCTGGCAAGAACCTTGGGGAGTGGGGAAGGACCCTGGAGGCACCGCAAAAGTATGTCTTCCCTAGAGTAGGGGAGGGGCTGGGAAGTGCCAGAGGTGATGGAGGGGACTGAAGTTTCAGTGAGCATGATAGATTTCCATACACCTGGGTACAAGGTAAACAAACCAGCTCCACTGTGTGTGATGCTTTGCTCTGGAAACAGGTGCTGCAGGTGACTAGAAACCCTCCTACCCTCTTCCAAATCATGGCAACAGAAGGGGCAAAGACACCGTGCAGCCTGAGGAGCATGATGACACTAGCCTGAATTGGCTTGGAATTAGGATGCTTTTGCTGCATGTAGGACTTTGGAGCCAGGAAATAAAATGAAGGGAAGGCAAAGTTTTGCCCCTTTTTCCTTCTGCACCTCTTCACTTACCTGGTTGGGAGCCAGCTCATGAACAAAATTAATACATGGAGCAAATATTGTGAGGATGCAAAATTCATGAAAACAGGTGCTTTTTAAAAAATTCATGCAGCAAACACTGCATGAAGTACCAAGATGAGAAGGACCAAGTCTGTTTATCTTCCTTTGCCTAGCATCCCAAGTGTGGTTGTAACAGACAATAGTTGTTCAATGAGGACCTAAAATGTGCCGAGCACAGTACTAGGAGCAAGATGGACGTGATCCTTACCTCAGTCTTGCGGAGAAAATCCTACTTCCTCAAAGTAATTAAGCTTAAATTTGCAGTCAATCAAATTATATCAAAGCTACTATCAAAGGTAGTGAAAACAACTAATCAGGCTCCTTATAATGCTTACATTTGTACCTTTCTCCATTAACTGATTCCTATAACAACTTTGTGAAGTAGGAAGGCAAATTCACTCATCTCCAGTTCACAGCTGAGATGACAATAGTACTCAGCAATTATTGAGGGATTCTATATTGCCAGCACTGTGTTAAGTACTTTGCATTCATTATCTCATTGACTCTCCCAACAACCCTATAGACAGATACTATTATTTCCCCCCTTTTCAGACTAGGAAATCAATGAAGCTTAAAAATGTTTAAATAACTGTGCCCAGGAGTACATAATTATTAAGCGGCAGAATAAGGACTCCTCTGAGTGGGACTGCGGGGTCTGCACTGTGTGTGGAGAAGGCAGCTGAACACACACAAGTGAGGATGCTGAAACTAGTATCAGTCAGGGTACCTTTAATACTATCCACATATTTAATAAATCCCTAAAGATGGAACTTACTTATTCTCAGACAGTCTGAAAATGAGAAGACATCTTTACATGATTACAAAAATTAGTCTTCCATAACAGACAGAATTTAACTACTGTAATAATTTTGAGACAGGAGAATGCTTTCCTGCTATTTCTCTGGGAAGCAATGCTTAATATTTAAATCAGAAACGCTCCAGAAGTAGCAAGAAATTTTAGCAAAACCAAAACATCCTCATGTAAGCCACATATACATGAGCATCTGTCTACTAGGGCCAACTGGATAGTAATCGCACTGCTGGATGTGGGTCAAGGCAAAAGAATCAAATTACACACAAGTTGCAATGGACTCTGGAAATCAACTGGTGACTAGGATGCTCACTAGCAGAGGCTGAGATGCCCAAGCAGTTAGTTCCAAGACCTCCAGGAAAACATTTCATACTAAAAGTCCTTCTCATCATTAGACATCAGTCTATCCCTTTCCCTCTCTTCCCCATTTCTTTCTCTTGCTATCTTTCCAGCCAGCTGCTTTCTTCCTTTCTTCCCTTTAACAAACATTTTTTGAAAAGGTAGTGAGCAAAACAGACATGGATTAGCTTACGATAAATCTCACTGGGAAGATGAAAACGTTTTCCCAACAGATTAAAACAAAATTAAACCAAGGACTTGGTCCTCTCCCTTCCCTCTCAGCCCGGGGTGGTAGATCTCTAGGGTGTTGGAGGATTGTGCTGTTTAGGGTCCCATTGTCTCAAAAGGCGGGGCTTCTGGGGGCGGGGCGCCTGAGCTGCTGGCCACCCCTCCCCCGCAAAACGGATCAGCGAGTGGCTACGTGGTCTCCTAGCAACCCGAAAGGCCAGAACGCGCTTAGACCACATCCAGTGTAACCGCAGAGCCGGTGAGACGATGGTGGACCGCAGGCCTAGTGCGCCGAACCGGGTTAGCAGAAACTGCAAGCCCTGGTAAAGGCCGCGGGTGACACGTTGGGGCGCCTGAAACCCGTTCTTGCTGGAACTGAGTTGGGACAGCGGGGCTGGGCCTGCGTCTGGGCCTGAGGCTAAAGCTGGGGCTGGCGCTGGAGCTGGCTGTAAGGCTAGATCAGGGGCTGAGCCTTGGTCTAAGGCTGGGGCTGGGGCTGGGGCTTGGGCTGAGCCTGGGCTTGGGCCTGGGGTGGGGGGTGGCAGATAGCCAAGCAGAGTTCGGCTGCAGTCCTGCCTGCCTTTCCTATTCAAGGTCTCCAGCCCCTAAATGATTATGACATAACCACAGCTTGATGCTGCTCAATGCATAGGACACATTTTATTCTGTTTTCCTTGCTACCCCGAGGGGATTTAGATTCAGACACCTCTTCCAGGTGGGAAAGTGATCGCCGTTGAGTCCTCTGTGGAGACTGGTTCAGTCTAGACACACAGTTCTGGTGGGGTTAGCCAACAAGGTGGATCCCTGCATCCCCTGTGAGGGGTCGGGTGCACCTAGAGCCCTTCGCTACCCAGCTGATGACTGGGGCGAGCTGAGCCTGTGTTTGGGGGACTGTCTTGCGTCCTGGGGAGATCTCTTGCCATTTTCAGTGCCTACTGTCACAGCCACAGGGCGTGAGTCCAAGGCTTTTTGCCTTTGCTGATTGCTTGAGCCATTTATGAGAAGGGAATTTCACTCTCTTGGAGGCTAGATGACATGGTGGTAAAGATCCCAAAGTATAGAATCAGAAAGGCTGGACTCGAAGGCCAGGGCTTCTCTTGCTTGCAAGGTTAACTTAGGCAAGTTAGTTGCCACTTCTGGGCTCAGGTTTCTTAAGTGTAAAATGGACACAATAAGAAGAATCAGTTTTGTAGGACTGCTGTGAGGACCAACCAGCACAGCACCTGTGAAGCAGTTACTGGCACATGGTATGTGTACATGTTGGCAGTTGTGAGCTCTTTGGCAATCCCCCTTTCCATTCATTTTCTAACTTGTCGTTTTGAAGTAATTATAGACTGGAAATAAAATATGGACCCTGAAGTGCTCTCACAGTGTTTCAAATAAGACTCTACTTGTCCTCCTTGATGGTTTCGGAGGAGGTCTTGGACTCTAGGCACTGAATTTTGGAGATTTTCACACAAATAGACCCTTGTATGTTCTTGACCTGTTGGGCTTTGGAGAAGCAGTAGACCCATGTTTGACCATGATGCGGAAGAAGTGGAGAATCAGTTTGTGGAATCCATTGAAGGATGGAGATGTGCCCTAGGCCTGGACAAAGTGATCTTGCTTGGATTCAACCTGTGCGGGATCTCGGCTGCTGCTTACTCACTGTAGTGCCCGTGAAGGGCTAATCATCTCATTTTAGTGGAGACTTGGGGTTTCCCTGAGCCATGGACCTTGCTGATCAAGACAGACCAATTCCAGTTTGGATCAGAGCCTTGGGAGCAGCATTGACTCCCTGCAGCCCTTTAGCTGGACTCAGGAGCGCAGGGCCATTTGGTTTCAGTCTACTACAGCCTTTAAGGCCTGATTTCGAATGGAAGTATTCTTCAGTGTTTGAGGATGGTACTGTGACAGAATACATGCACCACTGTAATGTACAGACTCCAAATGGTGAGATGGTTAAAAAATGTGACTGTTCCTTCTGGATGGGCAAAAAGGCCAGTGCTCCTGTGAACTGGTTCAATGGACCTTGACATCCCAGTTCCGGGAGCAAAGAAGACAAGAGAGAGGACTTGCACAGGCCAGTGATAATGTGCCCTGAACTAGGAGTATGATTAACTCAGCCTTTTCCATGTGAACCCCTCTTCCCCCACCTTCTTTCAAAAACGCCTCCTTACAGCCTCCTTTTCCCACCCTAATCCTTGTGGTCTATGTAACTGGGCATGTTGTCTTCCAGGCATAGAGTATCTGCCCAAGAGCAGGCCGACATTCCCCACCTTCACGCACACAAAGCAGTTCGTATTTCTGAGAAACAGACTGGAGGATTTCCGGCATGGGTGACCTCCTTGGGAAGGTATAATTACTCAGGGCTTTCAGGAGCACTCCGTTCCCTAGACAAGTCACCGAGTCCCCAGACCTCCCGCCCCAAGGAGGCAGCACAGCTGCCCAAGGAAGTAGACCTGTGTGCCTAGCTCTTGCCAGCCCGGCAGGTCCAGAAGGTGTTCGTGGCGGACAGTGAAGCCCAGCTGACCCCACATCCCTTGGCCCGCTACCCAAGTCTGGGGGCAGATCTCCTGTCCTAGGGCTGTGGCAGGGTTTTCCCTGGGGCCTAGAAAATAATTCTCCTTAGATACCTGGGGAGTTCCCTCTAGGGAAGGACATGCTTATACAGAGGAGAGGACTCGGAATGTCTCCCCAGGGTGAGAGTTTCCATGGGGGTTGGAGCAGCTTCCTTTCAGCAGCATTTCCGTCTGCTCCCCATGAGGGTGCACAGCTTATGAAGGTCCAGCACACTGGAAACTTTCGACTTATTTTCCCCCTGAAGGCCCACCAGTCCACTCTGCCTGTGATTTTGGGGGGAGGAACACAATGGGAGGGAACTGTTCAGTCGTGCTTCTGTCACCCAAACCTGCTCTTAAAGGTGTCAACAAGTTCTTACTAACTGACGGGTATAAGGCATATGTGAGTGTGCAGACTCACAGGGAAAAGTCACCAAACGGTCAGGCTTAGGCTGGGCAGCAGCTCCGTCACGTCACCATGGTCCCAGGCAACTTTAGACTTTCAGTTCCATTGTCCCCTCCATACGTCTCTAGTTCTGTGTCTCAAAATGGCTTCCACACGTTCAGGCACAGTCTTCCCAGCAAGAAGGGGGAAGGGGCAAAGGTTAAAGGGTACATGTCAGCTGACTCTGTCTTTTAATTAGGCAAATACAGTTGACCCTCAAATGGGGCCAAACTGCACAGGTCCACTTATAGGGGGATTTTTCAAGAAATACAGTTGGCCCATCCTAGTGATGAGTTTCACTTGCACTGATTCAACAACCGCATATAGAAGACAGTATATTTGCATTCCTAACTGCAGATTCCCAGCCACATATCTAAAATACTGTTTTTGATCTCAGTTGGCTGAATGCACAGATGCTAAGGGCCCACTACAGAGTCAACATTTCTACGTTGGTTTTTGACTGCAGAGGTCGGCATCCCTGGCCCTCTCATTGTTCAGGTGTGTACTGCGATAGCTTTCCCAGTAAGCAGTTCATTCATCTCACCACTCCAAGATGTTAGGGAGTCCAGAAAATTGAGGTTCTTGGTTGGGTATTGCAACGTTGAACTTATTACAGAACATAATTGTTAGATTTAAGGGGAAAGAGCAGAATGATATTGGGCAGAAAGCGAGCAGTGCTTGCTCGCCCACCCTGCCCGCGCAGTCTCTTCCCTGCACTGTGAGCGTGGCAGTTGTTCAGGGAGGTGAACAGCTCTGCAAAGTCCCCCAGCGGCCCCTTCTCACTCAGAGTTAAGTCCTTGCTGTTGTCTGAAAGGCCTTACTTGCTCTGCTCTCCACCCCACCCCTCTCATGCTCCCTCTCCAACTGCCCACTCCTCTGCTCTCGCCTGCCGCAGCCATGGTGATCGCCTGCCTGCCTGCCCTGTGAACATTAAAGGCATTCCCGATGCAGATCTCTGTTCCTGTGTCTGGGTCACTTGCCCCCCAAGTCTACCTAGCTCCCTCCTTTACTTCCTTCGGATCTTTGCTGGAATGTCTCCTACTTGGAAAGACTGTATACAATAGCATTTCCTTTCGACCCTCATTCTCTATCCCTTACCATGATCTATATTTTTCAACATAGCACTTGTCACCACTGGGCTCCTCACTAGACTAAAAGCTCTATAGGGCAGGGTCTTTGTGTCTTGCACTGTGTACCACCAATACACGACGTATGGTAGACACTCGAAATATGCTCATGTATAATGAATGAAGAAGTAAATGATCAGTGGCAGAGGAGTCTATAGGAAGGACAGTTGAAATTTCAAACCAATTTTTTTCCACCCAGGGCTTCCCTGCACTGCATCCTGCAGGTCAGAGCTCGAGTCCATGACAAAGAGATTGTCTGCACATTCCCTCAGATGGCATGTGGGACGGTGGAACTTATTTCCATATTTGACCTCCCAACCAGGTGTGTTAGCTTTTTCCTGAGGCTAGACCTTTTTAATGCTGCCACGATTACCAGCAGCAGCTCTGGATTTAAATTCTACCCAGAAAACATCGGTTTTTGCATGTGAAAAAAATTCCATAGCTTAATTCCTTTGGGTCCCTCTTGGCTTATGTGCCTGTTCCTATACCAGTTGCTGATTTAGGTCCTGATAGGACTGGCCTGCCCATGGACTGAGAATGGGGTCAGGCGGCTTTAGACCATGAGGACTGAGGGTGGATGGGGAGGTGGCTCACCAGAGAAAAATCTAGATACTGGCATTTGCAGGAGGAAGAATGGATGCTGGACAGCCCAAAACGACATAAATCTCTTAGAAGTACTCAGTGGGGCAGCTGGGGACGGGGGCAGACCCAGAGGCATCATTCCATCTAGACGGGATGGAATTTCAGTTCAAAGGCTGCCTGCCTAATGTCTCGGTGATGGGAACTCACCCACAGTGCCCAGCCTAGGATCTGCCCGGAAACTGATGAATGCACTGACTGACTGCAAAGGAAAAGCAGCGGGGCAAGATGGTCTGTTTTGTCGTAGAATCAAGGAGCCCCAGGTTTCAGCACATCTTCCTTCCTTCCAAAACTGTTTTCTTCTGTTTGTAGCTCTTACTAAAGGTGCTAGAAGTGCTGGATCTTGACAGGAAACCGGAAGACACATGGGCTCACTGTGAGAGCATCAGGGAAAAAAAACAAAGGAAAGTGTAAAACATTCTAAAAACCATTCTAAAGACCAGCTAGGACTGTGAATTCTATTCTAAACCTCTCGTTCATTCCTGGCACCTGAAAAACATTTTACGAGTTAACTTCTCAAAGCTCCTCATCTTTAGTATAATTTAGAAAAGCAAGAGTAACTAAGTTCCTGAGGAGGAGGGAAAGGACCCTTGAATCCTGCTCTAAATAGTGGGTTTGTTTATTCAGGCTTTGCTTTTTAATGAATGGATGTGAATTATCTAGCAACGGAGCAAGCGTGCATGTCAGCATGACTCTGTAAGAGCTGCTGGGGTGGAGGGACACTGCGGGAAACCTGGCTGGTTGGCCCACAATGGCTCTTAATTATTCATGGTAGAAGCGCTTTTATTCACATGATTGAGACCAGTAGTTGGTTGTATAAATAAAACAACAACAACAACAACAAACCAAAAAGTTAATGGAGGACATTGTAAAAGATGACACCTAAGTTGTTAAAACATCTTATTTTACCCTAGAACATAACTGTACATTCACATGCTAGTCTTTCATAGGCTTTTTTTGAGTATGGATCTGCGGCTTGGAGTTTCAAGTCATCTTTTTTACATAAATCACACTAGTAATGACACGTTTGTTGAGTCTTTTCAAAGCACTAATATTAATTTTCATAGAAACAACTCTCTTTTGTACCATACTCTTTGTTCTCCAGCTCATATAATACTGAAAATGACAATCCAATGAGATGGTAGTATAGTCAACAGAAATAGATTTGGGATGTGCATTTAACTTTTGAAATGAAATGCTGTCACTGGTAGGGGCTGAGGAGTGTGGGTGCGAGGGAGAGACGCCCGCCCGCAGCACCCAGCCTGCTCTTGGAGGGCCCGCAGCCACAGTCAGGGTGTTTGGAAGGGGCTCTGCAGCGCTTCGCCAGTCACGCGAGTGCCCTCTGTGGAGGCGGAGTGAGAGAGGGTCCACTATACTAAAGTATATATGTGAGGGTGCAACACAAGGTGACAGGAACTCCACTGTCCCGGTCCCTGAGTGTACCCCCTGGTAAATTTGGGGAGAGCAACCAAGCATGCTCATCTCAGCTCTGCCTTCCTTTCACTGGGAAGCGAGATGGCCCATGGGAGGCATGAGTCCTCCTCTGTTTCTCCCCTCTGGAGGGAAGCCCCACCCTGGTCCACCCTGCTAGGGCCAGGGTTGACCAGTCTGCCCATTTCTGGGTTTCGGTGAACAAGTCTTGAACCTAAACCCATGTCCTCCAATGTGGTCTATGTCAGTAATAAAGGTGGTGGCATGTTGGTTTCATCTTTGACTTTTGTGTTATTTTTCAAGATGCTTGGAACCTGGGTAGGGAAGAGGGAGAAGTGTTAGATGAAGGGGTACCCTTGGAGATTCCAACAGTGTGGGGCGGTGTGGCCCTGGGAGCGTCTTTAACTTCTTCACCCTCAGTGAGCCATTAGCTACTTATGATGGTATGTGAATCTATCTCAATTCTTAAAGAGAAGCCATTGAAGAGAGTTTAACTCAGGATGAAAGACGGCTGCATTTAATATGATGAGGTTTATATTTGAAATGATCATTTTGACTGCAGTTTAGAAAATGGGTTACGGATCAGGGGTTGGGGTTCAAAGACTCAGAGGAGTCTTTGCAGCAGTCCGGACAAGAAGACAGAATTAAAATCTACCAGACTTATGAACAGGCTGGAGATTAGGGATGAAGGCCCGAGGGGTCAAGGATGTCTCCTACTCATCAAAGATTAGGCTTTGCACAGTAATTTGCACTTTTACCTGGCACGTGTCCACATGTCTTAATAAATGGTACTCATAATCTTAAAAATCACCTTATAATGGTAAAATGCTATATAAGTGTTGTTATTACTAATCATGATATATGTGTCTTTATGATGTTGATAATAAGAATGGAATCTTTGAAAAGTTAAAACAATAAGTGTGAGCTTGCAAGAAACTGTTGGAAGTACTTGTTTTATGATCTCCTTTCCCCCAAGATACTGTTTGAATTCCTCTTGGATCCATGGTGGCTCACGTTGCTATTGTTTCATAATTCCATTTTGTTTAGTCCCAAGAGGACTTCTCTGTCACCTCAAGGGACGTTGCTTTATGAAAAGAAGAAGTCAAATGAAATGGATTCACTCCATGAAGATGGCTCACCTCTCTGTGAAAATGCACGCAGAGCAGTCAATGACTTCTGCCAGTGGACTGGTGATATTGTAAGTTAGTAGTAATACAACTTTCAGAATCAAGCTCAAAGTTACTTTCATTAGAAAAAAACAACAACAGCATTTGTATATAATCTAAGTCAAATAATCAAAGTCATAAAGGAATCTTTCTGACTTTCCCACCATTTATAATAGAAGTGTTTCTTGTAGATGAAATTTCTGGAAAGTTTTTAAGTTTGCAGCCAATTTGAATGTTTATTGTTTATGTTTCATTTCATTGTGGTTGTCTCATAGTTTTTTTGAGTGACTGTTTTTCTTCCCAGCTTTACTGAAATATAACAGGCATACAACATTGTGTAGTTTAAGATGTACAATGCGATGATTTGATGCACACGCATATTGCAAGATGATTATTACAATAGTGTCAGTTACTACATTCATCCCTTCACATAACCACCTTTGTGTGTGTGTGTGTGTGTGTGTGTGTGTGTGTGTGTGTGTGTGTGGTAAGAACATTTAAGATCTACTCACTTAGCAATTTTCAAGTTTGTAATGCAGTATGGTTCACTACAGCCACTATGCTGAACACTGTATCCATCTTATAAATGGAGTTAGTGCTCTTTGGCCAACATCTTCCACCGCCCCCCCCCAGGTTGTGTCATATTTTTACTTTCAACTTTAATGTCAGGATCTTCTTCAGCCTCTTTCCTTCACTTCTTGAACTCATTTATCTCAGTTATATTTATCAGGCAGCTAGGCTTGACTACATCCTTTACCAAAAGTTCTTCTGACATAGAGTTTTGACCCTGTTATCCACACCATTTTCCTTGCTCTCCTTCCAAGAGCCTATTTAGTTATATATTCCCGTTCTCAGGTCCCTGTAGATGTCGAGATTTCTGATGCTTTTCCTGTGTTTAAGACCTTATAGGATTTGCAAGCTCCCTTTTTTGAGTGCATGAGTCAGTTCTGGCCAAAGTGATATGTAGGATCACTCATTGGCAAGTGACTGAAATATAATTCTGACTAGATTAAGAAGAAAAGGGGGCCACCCAGAGGTATTAGTAGTTGCAGACCCAACTGGACCAAGGTGCTCATGTTTTTAGGTGCTCTCCCCATCTCTTGGATGCTTTCCTCTATCTGACTCTGTTTTCCAGCAGTCTTTCCCCAAAAGATGAACAAGTAGCCACTAAAGCTTATATCTTACCACATAACAATTTAAGTGGGAAAAGAGCAATCCCTTCCAAAAGGAAAAAGTCTAGGGCTTAGTCTTCCTGGGTCACGTACCTTGTGCTTGATTATTCACCATGAATGGGGAAATGAAATATGCTCATTGGCCAAATCAGGTCTTGTGTCTAACCCCAAAGCCAGGAGATGGGCGTGTCCAACCTGCTGCAGCAGACCTACTGGGAGTGGGAGAGGGAGGCTTCCTACTTGGTAACTGGGGTATGGCTGCTGGCTGAGGCAGATGATGGGTACTCTCCCTGTTGCCTGAACCACTGTTTGTGCATAATCTGAAGGGACTGGATTGCCTGAATCCCCTCCCTTCTACTTCTCCCTTTCCTACCACCAGAGACTATAAGTCGAGGCAGGAACTTTAGGAACTGTATGTTAAAATTTAGCTGTCCTGGTGACAAGCCATATATTCAGTCATATATGACCAAGGTGTCATCTTTACCTCAGCTACCTAGGTCCCTATCACATCACCCAGAGGTATTTTCTCCAGAGCATTAGCTCGTACTCTCCTTCCATGCTGTTTAGTTTTTACCTCATTGATTTTGCTTGCTCTATTTCTGCTTCATTATTATTTTAGCCTAGTTTTGACTCTACTCCTCCTTTTATGTGCCCAACTCTATTTCATGACTCCTCTCTATAAATCTCAGTCCAACATCAGCTTCAGTTGCTAATGGCTTCCTTCTCTCTGTGTTCCCCAGTTTATATATCCTAAAGTGGAGTTGTATGGAATATGTAGAGGAGGAAAATACAACTTTCCTTCTACTCTTCTCAGTCCTTTCCAGGGCTCATATACCAAAATTCAGATTAATGAGAGAAAAATAAGCTGAAGTTTATTAACATGCATGCATCATACATATATGGGAAATACCCAGAGAAAATGGGTACCTCTTCCAGGTGGCTTAGAATTCAGGCTTTAATATTATCTTCAGCCAAAGACAAAAAGAAAGAAGTGTGTGGGAAGCCGGTTGTAAGGAGGAGAGCAGGAAAACTAGGTAAACAAACTGTAAGGTTTGCCACGCAGATTGAAGCAGGTGTCTTCTCCATTGATAAGCATTTCTTGTGGTTTAGAGTCTTCCTCCTCTTCCTAGTACACCCTTATCAGAAAGTGCGACACCCTTACAAATGGAGATGATTCTCTCACCAAAAGGTAACTTCCACCCAGTTTCCAGAGCTTTTCCTGTTTTCTCTGCTGTTTCTCAAAACCATCAACTCAAAATGATTCTTATGCCAGAGGCATATTTTGGAGTGGCATGTTCTGCTACCCTTCAAGTCCAGACTATTTTTTAGCCACATCAGAGGTCAAGGGTCAGCCTACAGATTAGCTGCTTTCACTGTGCAGCTCCACTCTCCACTCCCACTGGCTGTGGTTGGGGGAAGGGAGCGGAGGGCGTTGTTCTGTGCACAAAGTACTGTTGACTAAGACCGCCTTCTTCAGCAGGGGCCCTGAATGGGGCAGCTTCCCCTATAAGAGTCTGCAAGCAGAACAACCACATTTCTAGATATGGCTGGAAAATACTTCTAAGGATGTCACTGCTACAAAGGGTTGGAGAAGTTTGCTTTTGGGCAGACTGAATTTTCCCCAGCCCCATGCATTCCTCAGGGACTCACTGCTCCTTACAGGTCCTATATTGTCTTTCAAGGCACTTGACAGAGGCCTCCAGACCCCAAATACAGTTGACTCTTGAACAAGATGGTTTGAACTGTGCTGCCCCACCTGTACAAAAATTTTTAGAAATAAATGCCCATACTGTTTTCAGTCGTGGTTGGGAGTCCAGGTGTGGAGGGCTGACTGTATGCATTGATCTACACCATTTTGTACAGGGGACTTGAGCATTGCTGGGGGATGGGGGGTGGCATGAGGGTCCTGGAACCAGCCCTCCTACCGGGCCCATCCTTCAATTACCAAGGGGAGTTAGATTTTGGGGAAGTCAGGAATTATATAAGATTTTTGACTGTGCTGGAGGTCAGCACCCTTAAGCAACAGCCTCCCAACCCCCCTCCTGTTATTCAAGGGTCAGCTGAACTTCTAATCTCCAATGAGTGCTTACTGAACCTTTCCTGCTTCTCCAAACTACCTCTTCTCCAGCCACGGTCAAATACCTCCATTAGATTAAAGGAGAAAGTAGGAAGCACTTCACCATTTGTCCTTGACTTATGCAATGTGATATTTTTCCAGACAAGTGTGAAGATTGATGAAGAGTTTGTGATGAAACAATTTCACCTTGACTGTCAGAGCAAACCAAGCTGTTATGGGCTCAGCATGATGAGACTCGACCAGCTCCCTCTGGAATTAAAGAAGAGCATAAAGCTCAATAAATGGCAGGAAGCAGAATTTTTCAAGGAACGAGAGCGGAAACTGGAGGTAATTGAAAAAGTGGAGAAGACTGAAAATCAAAGAAAGTGAAGTTGTATTAAAGTCTGAAATGTCCTTGAATCCTGGTACTACAAGGGGCACCAGTCTTTTTCAGTTGAATTCTTGACTTGTACTTATGTTTAATATTTGTTAAATGAGTGAATATTTCATATGCATGACAAAGATCATCTCTTTATGTGTTTTACAGTGTATGTTGAAATTCTAGCAGTCAGTGGAAATACATGTGAACATCTAATGTTGCAACAGTAAAAGATTGCAGTTGATGATTATGAGCACTGTTCACATTATGTCCAGAGAATTCTTGGATTTTTAGGATTGTCTAACTGATGACAAGCCTTCATTTCTGGTCGCACGCTTGCCAGATCATCAATACCTTGCCCAGTTTCCCATTCCTTATTTCCTGTGAATGTAGAACAAGCTGACAGAGAGGGGAAATAACATGCTACCTTCCAAAGGGAAGTACTGTGGGCCCCTAAGTACTTTTCCACTTTTTTACACAATGTGTTATTGCAAATATATGACAAGTCAAATGTGCCAATCCAACAGACTTAAGTGCCTGCCTAAATGGGAGTTGGTGGTGGGGGTGGGGGTAGGAAGAGAGTTCCTTTCTCTCAAAGTGAAAAACAATATATAATCTCTAATTACCTTCTTCACTTTACATATAATCTTTGATACTATATTTCCAATATTTTGGACACATTAACCTTGTCCTTTCCAATCGAATACAATTGTCAGTTTTTACATACGTGATGTTTTCTATCCCTGACCCTGTTGCATAAGGTTTATGAAAAGTGTGCATTCGCCCTGGCTGGCATGGCTCAGTGGATTGAGCGCGGGCTGCGAACCAGGCATCGCAGGTTCAAGTCCCAGTCAGGGCACATGCCTGGGTTGCGTGCCATGGCCCCCAGCAACTGCACATTGATGTGTGTGTGTGTGTGTCTCTCTCTCTCTTTCTCTCTCCCTTCCCTCTCTAAAAAAATAAATAAATAAAACCTTTAAAAAAAAAGAAAAGAAAAGTGTGCATTATGAGCCGATATAAGTGTGCATCACTAATACTGGCTCTTTTAAATTCTCCATTTTCCTCTCATTTTCTGAAGGGTAAAATGCAAACTGACTCTGGACAGAAAAATTATGTCCATCACACTTGGGGCCTGAACCAGTGCTTGTCCTGAAGCTGGGTTGAATGAAATTGCTCAGTCCTTGTACTTACAAATAATTGCACAAATGCTTTATAAAATACCATGGTTATTGCTGAAATTGAACTTTTGACTGGCAGGTGGAGGGTCACTGTGCAAAAGTTCAAAATATATATCTCCACATGGCTCTTCTGCCTGAAGGACTTCCTTTGACACTTCTTCTAGAGTAGATCTGCTGGTGGTGAATTCTTTCAGCTTTTGTCTGTCTGAAAATATCTGTATTCTGCTTTCACTTTTAAAGATCATTTCATATGATCGTTACATAATTCTAGGTTCACCGTGTTTGGTTTGTTTGATTTTTTTTCAGAATTTTAAATGTGTTGCTTCACTGTCTTTTTGGTTGTGTTATTTCTGATGAGAAATCCTTCGTCCTTATCTTTGTTTTTCTGGATGTGTTTTATTCCTTGGCTGTTTTTAACATTTTCTCTCTTCACTGGTGTTCAGTAATGTTGTTATTACATATGTTGGTGTGTATTCATTCATGGTTTTGTGCTCGGGGTTTGCTAGACCTCTCTTGTCCATGGTTTATAGTTTTCATCAAATTTGAAAAAATTTGACCATTATTTCTTTAAATATTTTTAAAGACACATATTTTGGTCTCTCAAGCCCACTCCCAGGACTGTAATTACATGTAATCAGGCTGCATAAAGTCGTCTCACAGCTCATTGTTGCTCTGTTCAGTTTTTTATTCTCTTTCCTGTCTATTTCCATGGCTGTGTCTTTTGATTCTCTAATGTGTTTTCCCTGCAATATATAATCTGCTGTGCATCCCTTCCAATGTATTTTTCATCCCATACATTATAATCTTCATCTTAAGAAGTTTAACTTGAGGTTTTAAAAAGCATACCTTCTGTGTCTTTACTTAATCTTTTGAACATACGGAATATAATTATAACTCTTTTGATGTTCTAGTCTGCTGAGTCTAACATCTGTATCGGTTCTGTGTGAGTTGCCATTAATTGATTTACTTCCCCATTGTGGACCATGTTTTCTTGCCTCTCTGCAGGTGTGGACACTGTCCATCTTACCTTATCGGGGACTGTATTTTTGTGTTCTTCTAAATTGGAGTTTTGTTCTGGGATATAGTTAGTCACTTGGAAAAGTTTGATCCTTCTGGGTCTTGCTTTTACAATCTGTTGAGAAGAGCTAAAGTAACATTCAGCCTAGGGCTGATTCCCTGCTGCTGAGGCAAGATGGTTCTGTGTGTTCCACCCAGAGTCCTGTGAATCATTAGACTTCTCAGGAGGGGATGGGCATTGTCCCTGGCCCTGTACACGTGCTGGACACTGTTCCCTCTAATCCTTTCAGTTGTTTTTTTCTGGGACCTTTGGTAGTTTCCTCCCACACATGCATAGACAGACTGTGTAAACCTCTGGGATTGCCTTTCTGTGCAGCTCTGAGCTGCAAACTTGAGCTGTTTTAATCTTCCTGGATTTTCAGTTCTGTCTCCTCAACTGACAGAGTGCTCTAGGCTCCTTCTGGGCTCCTCATTTTCTCCAGACAGTAAGCTGTGGCAATTGTGGGGTTTATCCTGTTGGTTTCCTGTCTCTTGGGCATCACTGTCTTTTGTTATTTGATGTCCAGTGTCTTAAAAATAATTTCTTTCTATATACTGTTTCTCCTGGTTTTGGGTTATTGCTGGTGGGAACGTAAATCTATTTACCTTGTTCCGCAAGTGGAAGTACCCATGTTTATTTTTTTATAAACTCTCAGGTCTGCTACACTCTTTTCTTTGGTGTTCTTTAAGACTCTGAGCTTTCCATTTTTAGGTTTTTGAGGAAACTCCATACTGTTTTCCACAGTGGCTACACCAGTCTGCATTCCCACCAATAGTGCAATAGGGTTCCCTTTTCTCCCCATCCTCGTCAGCACTTGTCATTTGTTGATTTGTTAATGATGGCCATTTACACAATGGAATACTACGCAGCAGATGAAAAGAAGTAACTCCTACTTTTTTGTGACAGCATAGGATCAATGGTTAAGTGATTAACTGTAATGAAATTATGTCATGGTTTGTGCAGGATAGAGGAAGTAATTAATTTCACCAAGATGAGTGAGGTTAGGTGCACAATTAAGGCATCACAGAAGAAATTATGTTTGTGCTGAGTCTTAAGAGAATACCAGCCACCCCCAAATATAACATATTTCAGACTCAAGTTCTTCAGTAGGGTAGTGGTTTAGATTCAATTTTTCTTCCTTCCTTTTCTCTTACTTCCCCCTCCTCCCTTCAATTAAGTGGTTTTTAACTAAGAGTAATTTTGCCCCACAACCCACCCTAGGATATTTGGCAATGTTTGGAGATGGCATTTTTGGTTATCCCTATTTGGAGGGTGCTATGGGCAGCATCTATGTGATAGAGGACAGGAATGCTGCTAAACATCCTACAATACATAGGACTGTCCCCTCCATCCCTTTAACTGTTACCAAAGTTAAGGAACCCAACTTCAATTCAACAAATACCTATTGAGCACCTATTGCATCCTAAATATTGTTCTAGATGCCAGAGGATGTATGGGGAAAGGAGAGATGGACAAACAACTAGAACAATATATAACATATCAAGTGATGATATGTGCTATTAAGAAAAATGAGGCAGGGAAAGAAAATGAGGACTGTTGTGCGTTGGTTATAATTTTTTAACTGGGTGGTCAGGAATTATACTACTGAGAAGATCATGTGAATTAGGTAAGGGACTAAATCATGTGGGTATCTTGAGGAAAAGCATATGGCAGGGGCAATAGTGAGTGCAAAGGCCCTGAGGCAAAAGCATGAAGGGAGTGCTCTCGAAATAGCAAGATGGTCAGTAGGCTTGGAATGGAGGGATCGCAATGCTCAATCTACCTCTGAGAAATGGGAATTTCTTTCCCTTTGTTTCATCCTTTCTGTTTTAGACAGGTGTACCTGGATTGAACCTCGAATGCCCAACCCATTCTCCCTCATGATTTAAAGATGAGGAGAGAGAAGGGCAGCATATTTGTGGTTTTTGTTTCTTTGTCCTTCCCAAGCATTAGACCCTCCTCCCCTTTGTGATGAGACAATATGTGGGTATTGTATCCACAGTATCTGGCTATGAACCAACAGATGCACTACTGAGGGATGGGAGACAGAACAAAATGACATCTATTTTCCTTCCTCTTTCTTCCCATTAGAGAGGCAAGAGACTGGTGTTGGATAGCATTGTGATCAAAAGTAGTGTGTACAAGGCTGAGCACAGTGCTGGGTTACCAGTTTAGTTGACCAAGTATTATTTAAGGTCATTACCCTTTGGTGAAATATGTAATTTTAACATGATTTCTTGCTGCTTTAAATAATTCTTTCCTTTAATCTTCCCAACAATTCTACGGGGTGGTACTGCTATCTTAGTTTACAGATGAAGAAGGCAAGTAACATCTTCTAAGTGGATGAGGCTGGATTTGAGCCCAGGTCTGTCTAAATTCAAAGACCATGTTTAACCACCTTGTTATTTTCTCAGTCTTGAACTTTTCACGTCACCTTTGTAAATCAAAGCATACTGAAATGTCATGAAGTACTTTGGCAAGGATTAATCATAAATTCAAAATAAACACTAGTGTTTTCATAAGCTAAATTTTTATCAAAACGACTGACCAAACAGACTAACAAAACTGGGAATTACGTTATTTTCTATAGAATCCTTCTAAACCAAAGTATGTGAAGATGAGGTACGGAGCATGGTATCTGGACCCCAAGCTGTGGAAAATGCAAAGAGCAGATGAACCTTTGGTTGACCCCAAGGTCTTATGTAAAGCTCAGGAAGAACTTTTAAAAAAGCAGCAGCAGGAGCAGGTATGTTTATATGCTGTAATTTGATCATGTGAGCTAAATGTTATCACAGTGCAACTGCTACCTCACATTGAAGCCAGAGTCTCTGGAGTAATGCAGAGGCTCCCGAAAGTCTTATGGCTTGCCTATTGAAACCAGCAATGAGAAAGCCAAGCCAGCAAATGGGGAATTTGTAATAACATATTACAAATATGACAGAACTTTCTCAATTAAGTATCTTTAAAAAAATAGTGCAAGACTATTGTTTTAAGGTGTCTAGACATTCTCTTTTTATATAAATACATTCTTAAAGACTGGTTGTTAAAGACAAATAATTTTCCAAAAGTATTTTATTTTGACAGCAAGAGGTAGTAAAGATGCTTGCCAAAATGGGTACAGTCAGCTCATGAAAACCAAGCAATATTTAAATTTTGGAAATAAGGCTGATATAAATATTACAGTACAAGGTTTCAGACACAGGAAGAATTCAAAATGAAAGAGTTCTTCTGTAATGGCGTTTATAAATCACACTTTGTAGCACCTGCAGACTGATTTGGCTGTGCACTGTAGGTGGTACCACATGGCTATGGCACCCCAGTTCACAAGACACAGGTCCAGTAGTGTGCTTGTAAGGAAGGGACAATGACTATAATGACATGACTGTCTTTCTGGTAACACGTGAGTTTTGATGGTTATTGATTGGGCTTGTTTGAAAGGTGAAATGATCTTAAAGAACTGAATTACAATGATATAATCATATACATTCAATTTTTAATTCAAATAAATGAAAGTAAAAACCAAATGAATGCTTGAATATCCCAAAGATAGTGGGGCTGGATCAAATCTTTTTTATTATTGTTGTTGTTCAGTTACAGTTGTCCCCATTTCCCCCACAGTTTCTCTTCCCTGCCCCGTCCAACCCCCGCTCCCAAAGACAATCCTCTCCCCCTTGTCCTTGTCCATGGATCCTTTGTACATACTCCCCTTCTTTCCCCCTCTCCCCTCCCTTCTGGTCCCTGTCAGTTTGTTCTTTATTTCCATGTCTCTGATTCTTTTTTGTTCATTTGTTCCACTTATAGGTGAGATCATATGGTATTTGTCTTTCACCGCCTAACCTATTTCACTTAGCATAATACTCTCCAGTTCCATCCACGCTGTTGCGAGAGGTAGGAGCTCCTTCTTTCTCTGCTGTGTAGTATTCCATTGTGTAAATGTACCACAATTTTTTTATCCACTCATTTACTGATGAGCACTTAGGCTGTTCCCAATACTTGTCTATTGTAAATAATGCTACTATGAACACTGGGGTGCATAGGTTCTTTTGAATAGGTGTTTCAGAATTCTTAGGGTATAATCCCAGCAGTGAAATTGCTGGATCAAAGGCAGTTCCATTTTGAGTTTTTTTGAGGAAATTCTGTACTGTTTTCCACTGTGGCTGCACCAGCCTGTATTCCTACCAATAATGTACTAGGGTTCCCTTTTCTCCACAACGTTGCCAACACTTGTTGTTTATTGATTTGGTTATGGTAGCCATTCTGACCAGTATGATGTGAAATCTCATTGTGGTTTTAATTTGTATTTTTCTTATGGCTAGTGATGCTGAGCATCCTTTCATATGTCTCTGGACTTTCTGTATGTCCTCCTTCCAAAAGTGTCTGTTCAGGTCCTTTGCCCATTTTATAATTGAATTGTTTGTCTTCCTGGATTGGAATCATGTGAGTTTTTCATATACTTTGGAGATCAAACCCTTACCCAAGCTATATCATTGGCAAATACATTTACCACATGGCTGGTTCCCTTTTTATTTTGCTGATGTGTTCTTTAGCTGTGCAGAAGCTTTTTAATTTGATGAGATCCCACTTGTTTATTCTTTCCTTTATGTCCCTTGCCCTAGGGGACATATTGGTGAAAATATTACTGCATAAAATATCTGAGATTTTCCTGCCTGTGTTCTCCTCTAGGACTCTTATGGTGTCATGACTTATGTTTAAGTCTTTTATCCATCTTGAATTTATTTTTGTGTATGGTGTAAGTTGGTGGTCTAGTCTTATGGGGTTTTTTTTGCATGTAGCTGTCCAGATCTCCCAACACCATTTATTGAAGAGGTTATTTTTACTCTATTTTATGCCCCTGTCCCTTTTGTCAAATGTTAATTGACCATAGAGACTTGGGTTTATTTGTGGGCTCTCTTTTCTGTTCCATTGGTCTATGTGTCTGTTCCTATGCCAGTGCCAGGATGTTTTGATTACAGTGGCCTTGTAGTATAGTTTGATGTCAGCTATTGTGATCCCTCCTACTTTGTTCTTCTTTTTCAAAATTACTGAGACTATTCGGGGTCATTTATGGTTCCATATAAATTTTTGAAATATTTCTTCTATATCTGTGAAATTTGTCATTGGTTTTTCAAGTCTTTTTTTGATATCAAGTCTTTGGAGATAAGATCTAAAAATTGTGAGCACAGTGTTGAGTAGGGAAAACACTACTGTTTCTTCCTTTACCACTGTCAGGAATTCTGGTCACTAAATATTGGGATTTTTCCACACACACACACCAAGAAATTATTTGATTCTGTGGACACCAGTTGGGTGTCCCACACTTTACCTCCATTCTGACATTATCTACCTGGAGATTGAGTCACATCCCACAAGTTAAGGGCCCAGTCCCATGAGACTTCCCTCACTTCAGATGCCAGTCTCAAGTCCAGGCTATCATCTGTGCTCTGGCCACCTGGCTCTATACATTGCAGGTCCCCACAGCCCTCTCCTCAGGTTCAATAATCTGGTAGAGCAGCTCACAGGACTCAGGAAAACCATTTGCTAGCTAGGTTACTATTTTATAATAAAAGGGTACACTCAGGAGCAGCCACATAGAAGAGAATCATAGGGCAAAGTATGTGGCAAGGGGTGTGCATGGAGCTTCTGTGCCCTCTATCAGTGTGCCACACTCCCAGAACCTCCACAAGTTCACCAACCTGGAAGCTCTCTGAAACTCATTTTTTGGGGGTTTTATCGAGGCTTCATTACATAGCCATGATTGATTGTTGGCCATTGGGAGACGGAGCTGAAAGTGTCAACCCTCTCACCACCTGGTTGATTCTTCTGGCAACCAGCCTCATCATGGGCTCACCAAACACCACCTCCTTGACATAAACTCTTTTGTGTGCTTGAAAGGGGTTTGTTATGAATAACAAAAGGCTCTTCTTTCACCTTTGTGGCTGTTAGCACTTAGGAAATGCAAGAGTTTTAGGAGCTCTGTGCCAGTTATAGAATGGTGGAATTAGTTAATAAGTTTTTGTACATTTCAAGTGTGTAATTTGATAATACATCATCTGTATATTGCATTGTGTATTTACCACCCAAAGTCAAATGTCCTTCCATCACCATATATTTGACCTCCCTTATCCTTTATTACCCCTACCCTGCTTTCCTTTGTCTTTTTGTTCATTTATTGCTTTCAGTTTTATATGCCACATCTGAGTGAAATTATATGGTTCTTGACCTCTTCTGTCTGGTTCATTTCAGTTAGCATGATATTCTGAAGATCCATCCATGTTGTCACAAATGGTAGTACTTCATCTTTTCTTATGGCTGAGTAGTATTCCATTGTGTATATGTACCTCATCTTTATCCAATCATTTATCCAAGAACACTTGGGTTGTTTCCATGTCTTGGCCTCTGTGAATAATGCTACAGTGAACCAAGGGGTACACATTTCTTTGTAAATGATATGTATCATAGTATCACAATTGTTATTCTTAAATTATTTAGATTCCAGATATTTAGGTCAATAACTGAATAATTGCTAAAATGTATGGCTTAGGTGTTTTTTTCTACCTTGTCTTCCAAATCACTGATTCGACCCTCTGTTTCATCTAACCTACTGTTTATTCCAGTATATTATTTATTTCAGATATTGCATTCTTTATTTTTGATTGGTCCTTTTTTATGGTTTCTGTGTCTTTTTTCATGCTGTAGAGTGTCCTTATAATCATTACTCTAAACTCTGAGTCTAAACTAGAGTTCATCTAGTTCTTCTTCTGGAGAATTGTCTTGTTCTTTCATTTGGGGCCTGATTCTTTGTCTCTACATTTTGGCCTCCTCTTTGTGTTTGTTTCTATGTATTAGGTAGATCTTGGAAGACTCAGGTGCAGGCCTATGTCAGATGCTGTGACTGGCCCTGGACAACCTGTTTGGGGTATCAGTGTTCCACAGCTTGTGGCTCCCTCTGCTGGACCTGGCCGTGTGCACAAAGAATCAGGCTGTGCACCAAGGCTGGCCTCTTCCAGCACCAGGCCCAGTGGAGGTTCAGCTAAAGTCTCAGAGCTCCCAGAGATCCGCCTTGGTGTGCAGGCTTTCTGGCGGAATGCAGTAAGAGATCTGCCCTGCCCTCTGGACTCCCCGTCACCCCGCCATGCATAGCTCACACCCTGCAAAGGAGTCAGTTGCCTGGGCTGGGTATAGAGGTCTGAATAGAATCAGGGGGATGTCAGTAACTCAATTGTGTGGTTCTGAGGTGAGGGCCATTCTTCTCACCTTCCTAGGAACCTGACAGTGGCTCCCCATCATAGGGGATCCTCCAGCCCCACCCTCCCAACTCCTGGTGGCCCCAGCTTGTTGAAATCGAGCTCTCCAGGTCTGGGCAGAATCTGTGACAGACTGAGTTATGTGGCTCTGGGGCAGGTGCATCTTCCTGCACTATCTCCCTAGCCTCTCAGGCACCTGCCCCTCATGGAAGATCCATTAGCCCCACACTCTCAACTAACAGCTGCCCTTCCCTGCTGAGCTCAAGGTCACAGCAGAATTTAGGACAGACTGAGTTGTGTGGCTCTAAGACAGCACCATTTGTCCCTTGCATACCTGACTGGTGCATAATTCTTCCTTCCACAGCCAAATCTTGGTCTGTTTGGACTTGATAAACTGTGTTGGCCTCACCCTGATGACTCCCTGAGACCCCTGCACCACCACAAAGATCTGCTGTCACCTGGTGGGTGGCAGCTGAACTTGGTATAGTCTGAGGCATTTGCT